TTTTGTACAGAACTCCTAAGAAAGCCGTTTTCTTTAGAGCGTTTACACCAGAATGTACTCTTACAGGATTAACATGGCTCATATCGACGACCACTGTTTCAAATGATTGAATATGAAGCTTTGTCTCTAACATATACACTTAACGTAAATCTTATAAATACCCAGTAATTGGTTAAACCTTAAAGTCAAAATCGTAGAAAATTCCATATAAATTTCGTACAATTGTATATTTTCAAGTGTTGTACTAATTCTAAGAGAAAGAAGCTCTTGATTCTCAGCAAATTTGAAAGCAGGAAGAGGGTGCCAGAGAGATTTTTCGAAATAAACGAACTCCGGATATTCTGATTCAATTTCTATACGTCTCCTATTGTAATCTCACAAGTAAAATACGAGCCGTGCTATTGAATCGAACATTATTGTGAAGGAACGAATGAGGGGTGGACGAAGAAGCGAACTTTTATTCCGGAGGAAATATAAATCCAAAGAAAATGGGTTAAGATTCGCGCTGTCGCCGAGCAAAATATAAACAATGTCCAGACTTTTCTGCTGGATTAAACGATGTAACATGAATAATTTCAAAACAGTATGTACGTTCCGCCACAGTGTCTCATCTCACCTATTTTCGTTTTTATTCCATCGCGATTGATCACTGTGTGTTCGGTATATACAGGGTGTCTGAATAAAGTTCAATGAATGTCATTGTAACTGTCGATCACTGTGATATGTAAATACTTAATAAGTTGCGAGGCTATGCCTTTCATTAACATGTTGGTGGGGTATTTGACCCGAAAAACTGGTCAAAACTGTTTTAAAATTTACTCAATCTTCAAAATCTCATAACTTTGTTACTATTCATCCAAAGTCATTTCAAAGTTTACACTTTCTAGTTTTTGGTTCTTTGAATCAATTTTATCAAAATGCTTGTCTAGAGGGTGAAATTCACTCTTTAATAGGAGTGTGCCAAACTGTACTTTTCCTTCATGTTCGTCAAGTACTACGGAGTGCAAACAATATTTTTTTGCAATTTTGATATATACCACCGGAAAGTATGATCATTTGTCTTTAAAATAAATCGAACCTCATCGAAGAACTATGTTGTTTAACAAAGATACAGCTCTTTAAAGGAAACCTATATTTGACAAATGTTTTGTGTACGGTAAGAAATGTGTACATATACATATGGTATAATATATACATACATATAATAGAAGGTCATCAACGAACCCTAGTCCTAATAAAGTTAATAACATACTAAAAACTTCAATCGTCAGGAATTGACAGACGAAATTTACTTAATAGGTTAACAATCAACTGACGGCGATGGATGCATGCGGGTCGATTGTATCTACGATCATAAACATTCTGATTTATGGTATATAATATATAAAATAATATTTATTTTAAGAATATTTTTGATTTGCAATATATGATAGAATTAATTTTCATCAGAAAATGCAGTGCAAGATTCTTCATTAAACAGTATTTCTTGCTTATGATATATCTGTCCTTCATCGATCTATCATCCACTCCTCAATTAACCCATCATCAGATCAACCATACAATATACGCCTATCGCATAATCCTTTGCTTTCATAACAAGCTAAACTGCATCCAAAACGGATGTTTTTTAACAAAGTTATGACCATTTGCAGAAACGCCTGCCCCTTTATGGTTTCACGTCTTTCATGCATGGCACCGTTCAATGGTCTGAGTTTCTGTAAATGAGTATAACTTCGTTAAAAAACATCCGTTTTGGATGCAGTTTGGCTTGTTTTGAAGGCAAAGAATCATTATTTCTGAAATATATGAAAAATTCCGAACACTGTTGTCTATGAGGAACATCCGTTCTCAAATATAAACAAAATTTTACAATTTGGAAGCTCTCTTTATAAGGGAAGATTTTACCTTTTGGGCATCGAGTTAAATAAAATCGAACAATAATTTGCCTTTTATTTAAACAAATTCTGACGAATATTAACAAAGTTATGGAACATTCAATCTCAATAATTTTTCACTAGTGCACAAGTGAGGCGATACTTTTGAACAGTACTGTAGTTTTTGCACCTCTTAGTACCTAATTTTTCAAGAAATATATAAAGCAATGTTCACGGATACAAATATATCAAAAGTAAAAAGGTGCTTTGGGGTGTAAAAAAGTATTTCCATGTTCTATACTCGATTTTACGAAAAACTAAACACTGTCTTCAAATAGTTATTTTATCAAAACCACACAAGAAAGTGAAGGAAACAAGGTGCCAAATTACTCTACATACTTCCTCTACATCCTACATATGTTGTTATTGCACTTCCTTAACACTACACTTGTAATAAATCACTTTCTTAATATAGGTTTCTTGGCATTTTCTTCGAACACAAAAATTGTTGACTTTCAAGCTTCAATTTGTTGCTAAATACTGCTCTTTTCGAAAAACCAAGATAGCCGTTTACTTTTATTCATTAGATAAAATTTGGGGTTTTGGCCAGCTTTTCGGTTCAAATACCCCACCGTGCGTCGTGTCCTTATCATACTTTTGGTGTGTTTGAGGTTACGTAGAAGAAAGACGTCACTAGGTAGTAATCGTATCGATACTCGATATTGATACATGTGGATGATATTCGAGCAATTCAATATTAAAGTACTCAATGGGAAGTATCGTAAGGTATCGAAATTTTAAATACTTGGTATCATCTTTCGATACCGATACTTTTTCAAACTATACCAAACCAATACAATTACAGTAATGTCTCGATGAATGCAACGTATTCGGGTCCTCTTCGGTGCATTCATGGATTTATACCCAATGGATATTTTGCGAAATTGTCAATACTTATTCAATATTTCACCAAAATATTGATATATGTTTGATATTAGGTCTATACTACTGATATACGTGTGATACACAGAATATGCAATATTTTGTCAGGATTAATTGAATACGTCAAAGTAACGAAAAAAGTCCATGTACATAAAAGGGACGTTGATGAATTCGTACTATCCAAGACATTTTATGTTAATATGTATTTTCCATATGATACCGATTTATACGAAAGTAAGTATTGGGAATTGCAGTTTGAACTTAAATATAACCAATACAAATTTTTCCAGCGCTACTCATTTTCACATCTCTTTCGTTTAATCGATAAAATGTAACTCCTTCTATTAACATATCAATGTTATGGTGAAGTGTCAATTGAGTATCTCAAAGTTGAAAAGGTATCAAATTGGTATCGATTCATTTGTGAAGTATCAAACGGGTATCGATAGCATCGTAGAAGTATCAAAAGAATGTCAATACTTTCTTAGGGGTATCAAACGTGTATCGATACCTATATGTATATTTGTTACAATTCGATACGGTATCATACTTTGCGAGCTGGAATCGATGCTACTGATTCGGTATCATTCAGATCACTGCATGTCTGTGGTAGCTGTCTAAGGCTGCATATCATACCTCTGCGATTCTTCAGGCTATTGTACCTCAAGGAAGGTTGCAATGTTGAACCATCCGCCCTATTCACGCAATTCGTCTCCGACATACTATTTTTTACTCTCAAAGCTAAAGTTATCAGTGAAGAACATACGATTTCTCAATATCCCTAATATCGAAGCGAATGTGACGACCTTACTTCAAAGCACACGTGAGGAAGATTTTTCCCAGAGCACTCGGCACTTGCATAAGTGATATCGAAAGTGCATTGTGTCCTAAGGGGATTATCGTGAAGATCAGTAAAATGATTTTCCAAAATCGCTAATCTAGTTATTATATTTTTTACCATTTATCTAATGTTATTAACACACCGTGTGTGTAAGTTGTTTATGCGGAAACGTGACTTGGAACGCTCAAATGTACCATTCCGCGCGACAAGCTCTAGTCTCTGATTATTATTCGACACAATTAAGGTGATTAGTTTAATTATGTTAATTGAATGTAATTATTTAGTCGTTCCAATTGAAATGGTACTTCCTTCAGTCAGTCTTCGTAGGTATGTTCATTACCGTTCATAAGTCACCAGACACTTGTTTTAATAAACGCAAAATAAGAAGAAATTCGATTTAGAAATTACTTCAATCGTGAAATCAATAAATTCTTATTAATTTTGCAGACTGCAGAGAAGATGTAAATTATATACTACATTGTGAACAATAAGTTTAGTTACTATAAACAGTCTATTTAATTAATGTGTTCACTTCGTACGGAAATATCTATTTGGGAATTTTTTAGAAGAAAAGTCTTGATATTATAACACCAAACTTTCTACGTTTTTTAATTGACATTCGAACAATGCACTTAAATTTTGTTAAACAATAATAATAATTTCGTTCAAAGTTACAGTGGTAGTCAGAAGAGGGTTTGAAAAAGAAGTTTGTTGCTGGCGAACATGATTCTAGTTGTTGTAGTCGTTTGAAACAAAAAGCGCAAAATATTTCTTAATCTATATGAGTGTGGTTTTCGTATGAACTAGAATTATGTTATCATTTGCAAAATTCGAGTTTCACAAAACAGAAAACTGACGAATTGTTTTTGGAAAAAATGAAAACTTTCGTTTGAAATGCTAGATACTATTTTTGTGTTTTTCGATATTTTTTACTCATCACAATTCATACGATAATCACACTCATATAGATTAAAAAATGTTTTACGTTTTTTGTTTCAGATGACTTAAACAGCCATCAGAATTATATTTGTCAGGTACAAACTGTTTTTCAAACCCTCTTACTTCTAACACTGTAACTGCGAACAAAATTATTCTTGCTTAAAAAAATTTGAGTTTATTATTCGAACGTCAATTAATAAACATAAAAATTCTGGAATTATATTACTCAATATATTCCATTTACAAAATTCCCAAATATTGTCTAATTTTTAAAGCGTCAAACTAGGAAGACCTCTTAATAGTACATACATAGTAGTAATGTAATAAAGGATTAACCTAATACTGTATTTACCTTAGCTTACGCAGCTTTCCGCAATAATACAGGAACTAAATATCTTTGTTTTTTAAATGCTCAAGTTGGTACGGTACTGCTTCGGTAATTTACTACGAGCCTGTTAATACATAATATACATAATTAGTATCATATAATTATACTATCATTTATATAGTATCATATAATTTATATAATAAAGCTAGGATCTAACGAAGTTAGCAAAAGATCTTTAATGAACAGAGGTTTGCCAACCAATGATTGGGTGAAACGTTTACTTAATGTTTTGTAAATATACATTTACTTAAATTTTGTTTTTGCTCCTGCTATATTGCGACATATTTCTACTACTATTTGATTCCTATTCCTGTAATACAAATACTGACGGAAACGTTGAGTATTTTTGTTCTTGGTTAGTGTTTTTAGGGTATTTTCAGCATCTTTACATCTTATTTAACTCAATATACATCGAAATTCGGTAGACTATATTTTGTTTATATGAAAATGTTGCATCGTGTAACACCTAAATTGTTATGGGCGTACAATATATTAAGTACAAGCAGACACTATAACACCATAAAAAATGTTATAGACCTTAAGAGCTTATAGTACTCACCCAGAAAAGTAAAAAATGCTTAATCAACATCGGTTCCCAAACCAATCCTTTCGACGTAAAACTAACTTCTATGTTCACGAGTGTTCGATATCGTAAGTGAATCTTTTCGCAACATATTGAATGTAAACAGAAATTTTGGTTTAGAAATATGTGCATTAATTCAAGATGCAGTACGATATACAATACAAAATACGGAAGGAATAAATATTAGAAAATGTACGTCGATCTGTGATATGCAGATGTGTGTTTTGTATTGAAGTAAAAGGAACACATGCATGTGGAACATCTCTAACAAATGTAAAAACAAACTCTTGTATTTTTCTGTGAAAAAATTGATTTTAGGTTCTACGTTCATTAGACATGTTTTACTCCTCTCGGTGAGTACTATAAGACTCTAATGTTTTAGATTCTTCTTTTGTCACCGTGTATATTGTAACACCACAGTTGTAATATAAAAAAAACTCTACTTTCTTCTTTTGTCACGTTGTATATTGTAACACCACAGTTGTAATATAAAAAAAACTCTATTAGTGGTAAAGCATCGTAGGACACATATCCATGTAAACACCTGCATATAAAAAGTTCAGTGATACTAGAAGACATTGAAATATGATTTCTGAGTTATTACTGCAGTTAGTATGGTAGACCACGTTCGCTTTTTACAAGATTCTGTTCGTTGAATTTTCAAGAAACCGAGTAATTATAGTTTTATCAAAAGAATTATAAAAATAAATGACATACCTTTTAAGCACATAAGAAATGTTGAAAATAAGATCACTCACGCAAGTAAACTTCTATAAGCAGTTTTAATATAATGTACATACATACATACAAACAACTTTAAAGAAACATTTGGCTATTATTAGAAGTTTTTTGGACACGTGATGCTTACGAACCATGCAATTTAAAGCGTATTCTCTTATGGACGTCATTAGAGCATGATAAATTAGTAAAAATATTCAATTATTTCAGGAATTACATACTTTCATTAGAATAATCAAACAATACATATTTCTAAAAAATTTTTACTTTTAACAACAAATTGTATGTAGAAAAAGATTTCTGCTGGACACTTAGTTGATGTTTTTTGATATTGAAAAGAATCCATATGTAATAATTATTACTATGTTACTATTAACAATTTACGTTAATCAATCCCAGAATGAATACTATGTATTTTTTATTAACTATAATATTCGTTCTGTTACGTTCCGAACAAAATTCTTTTTTCTTTTATTTCTTCTTTTACATCGGCTGGAATGCGTTACGATAATGCATAGCATTGTGGGTGCTCCTTAATCGAACGCAGTACGGTATTTGATGTTTATAAGATAGTTTTCTCATTGGCGACGCAAATATGCTATATGTATACAGGGTGTCTCACCCGATTTTAATATCTTGATTTTCTCGCTATTGTTACTCGTAGCAAGAAATGGTTCAGTGGAGGATTGAATGGTATCGAGTGGAGCATACTCTGATGTTATTAGTTTTTTCGTGACTGGACGCGTAAAGGTCATATAAAGGTCAACTTTGTTTTTTTAAATGGAATGAGGTATGTTTTAATACATCAATCGATGCAGCTGGACATTCGTTACGCCTTTCTCTCTATTGGTGTCATGTAAATTAAGAACATTCCGTCTATAACTTTATCAAAATTCGGCGTACAGTTAGCATATCAAAACGTAGCAACAATTCCCATAGCCGTGACTGAAAGAGTAAAGGAATTAATTCGGAGAAACCAAAGGAAGAAAGATAGAATTAAAGGAGGAAGGACATACACACTCCTATCGCACGTTCAATTAACGAATCACGGTCCTCAACGCATTAATCTCGCAGCCTGATTAGTCAGGCACCACAGTAATGCGGTGTAAACAAATTCGGACTAGGCCCACTCTGGTCTCTTCCGAAGGTACAACTCTGCGACACTTTTTGATGTACAATCGCGAGGTGTGTATCGAAGGGTCTGTGAGGTGTTATTTGAGATAGAGTTTTGTTCGCGCTAGCCTAAGAGCTAGAAAACACGACAAAAAGGACTCATACCCCATACGAAAATTCATTTCATTATTTAAATATTTTTCTCTTTTCTTTTCTTTAGTTTTTATTACATAGTGTTAACAGTTATTATTAGTTTCAACAGTTCTAACTTCTTTATTTCGTGACTCTACTCAATTCGATATTTAATAAATTCCGTTTACTTAAACTCGATTAATCACGTTGTGTGTGTTCTTCCTCATCATGTTCACTTCTGGTAACACGCAAATACAATATTCTAAGAAAGGTGAGAATTCTAGGAATTACGAAAAGGAAATTTTGTTTGACAATAGTCCAATACCGTTAAAATTCAGGTGAGTCGTTTCCTTTACCCTTCCAGTGTAATTCATTGTAAATTACTAGACAAATAGTCTCCAGTAGCTGAATTACAACTATGGGGTTTCCCTCACTGAAAATTATTTCTATTTTATAATTTGTGTACACATATTTGTTTGCCTTTGAAATATAAAATTCTAAACCGTTCTGTATACCGAGCAACTGTGCGTTATACATATCATAGTATTCTCCTGGCGATAACCCCTGTTAAAGTTCTTTCTTCTCATTATATTCTTCTCTAGATTTCTTTTTATGTTCATTCAATCGTTTTATATCCTAAGCTATTGAGTTGTACACATTTTAAAATTTATACCATCATCATATCATTTTATCAAAGTTATTATATGTAAATTCCTATTATGATTCAATATATAATACTCTGTTTCGAAATTCAAACCACTCACTTTCTTTTACATTACCTAGTATTTAGCCTCCCTAAATTCCCTACAAGACGATCTGGTATCGACGAACCCAAAAACAAAATAAAAACCTTAATTGATTGTGTTTTAGATTTGATCGGTCACAATTAATTAAGGATATTTATTCGTTGCTTGTTGCGGGTAAATTCTAATAAAATTTACTCTAGCGAGTCGTACGCGTGGTCCGCTCTATAACTAAACAGACTCATCACGTTATCGAAATTCACATTAATTCGGTTCCTGCGTTTTTGTATTTTATTATTCTACCAAAAGCATAGTAGTCGTAATTACACATATCACGCGCGCGCCTCGTACATAACAGTTCCAACATGTTTAATTGTCGGAAATGTAGTTACATAATTCAAAAATAATTTTGATCAATCTAATCAAGCATCAGTGGTCTCTTTACACTTTTTTTATAGAAGTTTAGTTATTAAAGGAATCATATAAAGCACAATAATATAGAATTAAATAAACCATTTCGTAAAGTTAACGTCCATGAACATTTGCGATAGAGGGCTATTATAAATATCCTTTTCGAAAGAAATTACTAATCCCAGAATTTTCACGTCGAATTTGAATTAGATAAACAGGAATTTTAAGCCCCAATTAAATCTGACCTAAAATCTGAGTTTTGCACTGAATTCGATTAAACGAAGCAAGTAATTTTAACGATAATTAAACCAATGAAGCAAACCCTTGAAGGACATAGTCGAAGTACTAAAGTAGCAATACGAATGTCTTATACGAAGAAGTGACCATTATTCAGGAAATAAAGGTACCAATTTATTCTGTTTAAAGTAGTATTTCAAAAAGGGTGACAAACCTTTTGCATCAACAAAATATTAATACACTACTCGTGTGTATAACTTTCACTGCAAAAAAGGCACAAGCGCAGTTCCGAAAGGTCAAGAGGTACAACAAAGAAAACAGAAACCCTTTAATTTTCACGGTGTTTTCCAAAGAACTTCCTCAGCGGCTCTCGTGAAAGAACTTTCGAACTGCTTTAAACTTCCGAGCACCGAAATTCACCTTAAGGGCCACCTGGGTCGAGACTCCGCGTTAATAATCCCGACAAAACAACGTAAAATGCTCGACCGCCGATTAATTCGGCATCCAGACCGCAACCAGCACCAAATATGCAATTTACACACTTCGCGGGGACGCATAAAAAATTTACGGGAACAAAACTTCTTCCCCGTGGAAAGTTTCAAATTGGCTATTGAGGAGTGGAAAGTTTACGTGTCGCTCCTGAATGAACTTCCGCTTCCGGCGTCCTCGGTGGACACATATTCATTGTATACAACCTCGGTCAGTCCTTGCAACATAATCCAATAAAATAGGAGATTTTAACGTGGGCGTAAACTTTTCTTTAGCACAGATCTATTTTAAAAATTTTTTATCATACTGTGTATCTCATTTAAGGCGGTTCTCTAGTGTAGAGGATCGAGAAATACGATTTTTCTTTGCATTACTTTATAGCTTTTGATGTGACAAATATTTCTGCACAGTGATTTTTTGAAAATCGAATTATTAGTAGAGGAAATAATTTAACCATTTTAGAGGTGTATCAAAAGAATGTTTTTTAAGTCGAACGATTACATATCTTGGAAACTACTACACCGATCCACTAGCTCGTTTACGTACATGTTCAAAACATAACTGACTGGTTGGAACCAGTGACAAGTTTCTATCTTGCAAAAGAATTTACTGAACAAAAACAGCTGAATTCTTAGTGAAAGTCGAACATTTTTGTTCAAAACGCTGTCATTTGGCACATTTTTATTTTTAGGGAGCTTTCGTAGACCGAAGCATAGCAATAACCATAATAGAGAAGATAAACATTAGTTTTTCCATTTTGTGTAATTACAAGAATTCTCAAACTATTGCCCAATAGGAAAGAATTTTTTTAAGAAACTTATGCCACTAACTATATCGATGTATACTATACATACAATGAAAAAGATTCAAGAAATTCGGAGTATTACTTCAAACGTACTTTAAGAGTCAGGCAAAACGCCATATAGTACACGCTTATAGCTTTTTAAAATAAATATCCCTAATATGGCGTTAGAAAACCGGCTGTTACACTAAAGTACTCCCTTTTAACTTGAGTGTTTTAATTATTAGGTTTACCAATGAGTAGTGTACTACCTCTTTTTAATAAACTGGTAACATAATTTAAACTGAAAGCATGTTCCGTTTTCTTGTTTTTCTTCAATGTTATTGTTTAACAGCCATGGATGATGGAGAACAAGAATGAATATTGTTGAAGTATCACGAACTTATGATTGCATGATAAATAAACATCAAATTGGAACCAATATAATGAATTACATTTACACATTAAGACATCTAAGAGATTTCAAGATTACTTTTTTTTTAAGTAACTCTATAGTGCCCTCTTTTAGCTAAAATATCCTATCTAACATTTTCAAACATCCAAGAAAAATAAGGTTCTATAATTTTCTTTGTGCCGTTCTTGTTTTTCATGATAGGACATTTTAATGCGGGAAGCGGTTGAAATCATGTTTATTCTTATTTTTAGTAAACACAACTTAAACGTACATAAGGGAGGTATAAACAACTTGAGCATAACACTCATCATTGCCATTAGTATTCTTAGAAACTCTTTAATAGTTCTTAAAAAGCAAGGTTGGCATAATTGGCTTCAATTTTGTAATTAAATTTTCTTATCAAATGTTAGCTTAGAACTATCTAATCTAGTAGATATCACAAAGTACAATATGAACTAGTGAAATCATCGGAGAAGTAGTTAGGACAAATAAAATAGACTGTATCTAGAGCTCTACAAACCATGGAGGGCATTCTAACTTTAATGAAAAAGTGAAAAACACCTGGAACTCCAAATATTTCGATAATCTTGAAAAACGTTAACTTGTTAAAGAGGATATTTTAACTAAGGAGGGCAGTATATTTTTTTTTATGTAACACATTTTAAAACAAATTCAACCGTGTGTTACAAATTAATCATCTGATGACGTTGAAGAGTTTTTTGAGACATTTGAAGTGTTTGTCAAAACTTATTAGTTACAAATAGCATATGCACGAATAAAATACAATGAAATTAAATGCTTGCGGGTGTACAAAATATATCCAGGTATTAGGAATTCTGTCACAAATGGAGTGGCTGGATAATGATACTGTACGTACAATCCCATTCATAAATATTAAGACACCTGCTGGTCTCATACAAGCCACGACAGTTGATCCATATTACATAACTTTTACTAGCTTTATGACATCACATTAGCAAACATAGTTTGAAGTACGTGTATTTGCTATTTATCTCCTTAATTATTTGTAAGGGATACAGGAAAATAATGAATTAAATGTTGCGCGTGGCCACCGCAATTCCCTGATTCCGCAAACTTCACCGAAACGAAAAATGAATCAGATTGGATAAGAAGCCGAGAAGTCTGGCCAAAATCTGAATCTGACTGTAACCATTTAAAGAATATCTCACAATCAGTAATTATTAGTTTTTGACCCATATACCTAATAGTTTTGTTCTTAGTATTTAACAGTCTTTTGAATTGCAGGACAAATTTTTACACATTACAATTAAAAAAACTCACGGTGACGGTCATATCTCGATAAAGAAAGCAAAATAGCAAAAAACTACTTATTACATTATGTGTTCCCCTTGATACTATATAACTTTTGTTATATAGTTACAAATAGTTTACAAGTAATTTAGGTGGCAATTTTAGGGAAATTACCCTGTATACAAACCTGTGTGTGAGAGTAGAACATAGAGAAGTTGCTGACAATAACAGGAACAGGAAGGGCAATGGCTAAAACGCTAGCAATCGCGCACAGCCCTCCGACAAACATCCCTGGGAAAGTTTTCGGTGTCATATCCCGGTAGCCAATTGTCGTCATGGTCACCAAGGCCCACCAGAGACCATGTGGTATACTATCGAAGTCATTACATAGGTTCTCCTGTAACCAAAACAATACGAAATAATGTAATCGTTATGTCTGACTATATTGTTACTTGAAAAATAATTAATACGAAACAAAATTACAAATTCTCAGAATTAACCTTCGTGCACTGTTTAAAAAGTTGTCTCATTCATATTGCTTGTATTAAACTTGCTCTAAGCTAAAATCGAATAAAGGAAATATACCTACATATTACCTGATCGTTACATGTGCAAACTACTGGCGTCGAATTAACTTAAAAGATTCTTTGATAAAGAATGTAATTAAAAATTAAAGTCAGAGTTTAGGTCAAATTGAGCAGAACAATGCACAAAGGTTAAATCGTGTATGATTTTACATTAGCTAGTTGAATCTCAGACCTAAGGACACGTTCATAAACAATTCTGAATACACATAATAAATATAATTTCTGTTGGTGAATTATAAAATTTATCTCAAAAACAAAAGTCACAGATGTGAAGTCGCCGGTTTTAATTAAACTTTTCTGGTGAATCTAGAGCAATAATAAGCACATCCATATACGAGCGATTTTGCCAATACGCATTATTTGCAAAGATATTTAACATTTAATTCGTTAATGTCCTATTACATAGTGGGTCGGAAATCGTATTACAACCGGAAGGGGAGTGATTCTATGTGAAAAAATAGCAGAAAATTTTTATATCAATTTTTTTCGTCTTTGGATCAGTCTTTGAGAAAATCGAGTTCGAAAATTGATCAGATACATACTAGTACTTGGCTATCGTGTATTTAACCAATTTTCAGATTCGATTGTCGAAAACGAAGCCTCGGACGAAAGAATTTTATATCAAAATTTTTTCTTATTTTATCAAGTAGAATAACCTGCTTCCCGATTGTGTTACGATTTTCGACCTACACTGCATCTGGACATTATAAAACTAAATGTTAATTATCTTTGTAAATGATGCATATTGGCAAAAACGCTCGGATATGGGTCTGCTATATTTTTGCACTACATTCATAAAAAAAGTTTTGTTACAATCAACACCCCCACAACTGTGACCTCTCCTTCTAAGTTATCATTTTATTGTTCTTTTAGCTCTTAACTGTGTCCAATCATTTCTATTTTGGACACAGGCATATGGACGCCATTATTGTAGATACTGTAACCACTGTTTAATTGACAGAAACTCAGGTTCTCCTTGCTGCAGTTATCCGTAGATATTCTGGAAACTGCTGGCTGCTATCTCTCTCCGATTTGCTCGTTTCTTGTGTGCGTCGGAGACGAAAGCGAGAAACATTAAGTGTGAATGAAATAGAGGAAAAGGTTCGAACAACTATTTTACGATGTGTAGCACAGATAACCTGGAAGTTCGCTCCGTCGAAGCTGTTCAGATAATTGGTGGGGATAACTATGCGTCAATTAACCGTACAAATGATGCATCTACTAAGCGGGGACTACTGTTCTTATTTAAGTAGAGAGTAAAGTAATGGGTGGAACGTATATGAAACTTTTTAATTTGAAACATAGAGGGGAATAATAATTTACTGTAAATGTCTAAAAAATATTTAAATACTACTGTAAATTATAATACAGTTAGTATTCATATCAAAATTTTGTTTATTCACGGTGTTGAATTAGGGATGAGGAATAGTAACTAGGATCATTTCCTTAGCAAGATATAGTAACGTTTTTGATAAAACTTGGATTCGTACATTAGGCTTCGGTAACACGAGGGCTGAAATAATCTTGGATAAAAGGAATTTGAAAGGAAAATATTTCCGTACAAAACTAGAGGTAGATTACATACTGTTCCACTAGCACTTCTGCATATTTAGTTAGAGCATCAAGTTTATTCGAGACGACTGCACGAACGGTTGAAACTTTTTATCACAAACACTATTTATTTTCGTTGAATTTTTCTCGCCTCTGTTATATTTGTGTGAGCGTTCAGAATAAAAGTCGATTAGAACAAAATTAAATTAAAATAAACAAAAAAAAATATATATATATATGTATATATATATATATTCCTTTACAATTTTTCATGACGTAACTGAACTGTGAAAGAGCTAATAGTGTTGAACTGTATAGTGTACTTACTTGAAGACGTTCCGTGTAAAATATGAGACTGGCGAATACAACGATGCTCAGAACGAGGAAGAAAACCAGCAAGGCGAGTTCCTTGGCAGACGCCTTGAAGGTATGAATCAAGATCCTAAGCCCCGGAGAATGTCTCGTCAGCTTAAAGAGCCGCAGGACTCGGGCTATCGACAGGACCTCCAGATACAAGCTAGACTCCGTTAGGAACTCCGTGTAGAAGCTCAGCGTGGCTGCTAAGTCGATCGCGTTCACCGGTGAGACGGCGAATCTCTTCAGACTCGGACTGACCTGTAATCGTATCCGTCAGAATCAGGATTTTTACTGGCCGACTTTTCATTCTCACCCAGTGGCTAAGCTTACACGGATAGGACACTACCAGATAATTATCGATTTTGATGAACCTTACCATGATCAATCTATTGACCCCTTAACGCACGGTTTTCTCGCAACGTAATACCACTTGCTCGAGTTAATTCGAGTGTGCAGCGTTAAGCGGTTAAGAGGATATCCCCTTTTTGGAAGAATCATTCTTAAGCAATTTCCAGGATTAAAAAATTAATGGATCAAGGTACTCGAAGTTTTTCATATATTTCTTCACATATCAAGAAAGCACAGTAAAATTGTTATGTAAGTATCTGTTATATTAACTAGGGTACTATATGTTTCTTCAGTGTATCGGTATGAATGTCAGCCTTGATCCACGGTGATGTATTCTTTTAAAACAGGTAAGTAAAAGAAAATCTTAATTTAAGTACACGAATGTGGTTATCTTCCAAATTAGAACAAATGAGAAAAAAATGTTCATTGATAAAGTGGCAGCAATATAAAGAAAACATATCGATTTTATCATAAAAGCATCAACTCTATCAGACAATGAAAAAGCAATTCCAAAATCTGAACTGGATTGGTTACTTCAGTGTTTAGAAATCATGGAAGTCTGGTTGAAAAACAGGGTTTCGAGAAAAATGCGTTTGAAGTTTCCACTGTAAATGACTGTACATAAATATATTGTTGGTTACTATCTCAAACCTGCGATCTATTTATTGAGTAATAATAATTTTTAAGTTATAAAGCATATATTTTTAAGGACACCGACAAGCAATATTACAATTTGGTTTGGATGTTTTAACATCAGCATTGTAAAATTTTCTTGATGGAAAGTCATACAAAGGCATTGAAAAAATTAATATGCACGTGGATGAACATTTTAATAAAAAGCGAACACTTTTATAAGGTCATAGAACAAAATGGTTTGTAGATCGTCGATGAGGTAAGTTTTATATAAAATTACGTAATATTCTTGTAAAAATCCGCGAAACTATTCATTACACAACCATTAGGTTTTCTAATATATTATCTAATAAATATGTCATGTGTCCGAACGTTTTTACGAATACGCATTAATATCCGAAATTATTATTTAACACGTTGCCTACCAGACAAACATAAAAAAAAGTGTCAACAAGTCATTGCAACTTTTTTAAATAAAATTGGAACTTCAAAAATTACATTTGTTACAGTAACTATTCCTTTAATCTTACTGAATCTCCTAAACCATAACAAAATTTAATCTATTTAGTAATTTAACAAAAAGTTCTGTTTTTAGTTCTGACGTTGAAGGATGCCACCCTTATGTGCATGACATGCAGTCAAAGTGTTAAAGTTTACAACCCTTTGTAACGTGATATACAAAGTGAGGCAGGATGGGAGGTAGAACCGAGCAAGGGTTGACGTTAGATATAAAACTGAACCGAAAATATAGAATGAAACCTTTTCATAAGAAGCTTAGTTTTCGAAGAAATTGAATTTGAAGATTATTCTTGAATTTATATAGTTAAACCCGGTGGCCACATACAATACCGCTTACAAGTATTAGAAAACCTTGCCAGTATGCAGAAAATGTGATATATCGTGAAATTTATATACTTTAGGCCACTTTTATTACTTTATAGTAGCATAAGCGTTCTCCATCGAGCTTTAATATCCTTAAAATAATATTTATTTCGAACCTTCAGCAATTGTGTAATGTCTCGTAACATTTACTGCATATTCGATAAGTGTCCTAATATTTATGAGAGGGAATGTACTTGGTAGTAACCTCTCGTTGGTAATCGAAAGGCAATTACAAAATCCGGAACACAAATGAGCTGTTTATTTTGAAAGTAGTGCAAATCCAGTTTTCGTTGTGACGAAATATTGAAGGGTTTGCATTTTAATCGATTCACAAATATTGATAAATGCTGATAAATTTTGTGCATGTTTGTAGGAACTTAAATCTATGTAAATTCAAAACAAGGAGTGTTTTATAGACTATATATGGACTAACACGGTTTTCATTACTACCTAATTGGGATAGTCATAATTTATCAAACGTTTAAATTTCTCTTTCGGTTGAATCACCTTGTTTTTAAATCAGTTTTTCATAAAAAAAAGACAACGACTTATACGCTAAGGACGAAATTATTATGATAAGATCTACGCTAAAGTAAAGTCTGAGCTGTCTATTTAATACACTCTATTATATGTATAGCGTAGTTACTAGTTGTTCTATATTAAGTTAATTATACCTCAAACAAGTACATACATGTATAACATGTTAATGTTTATTATAATAGTTTATTATTACATTAGAGAAGTTGAACTTGCACCACTTTCATCTTGTCACAGTAAATAATGTTAGAATTTAATTTAACAACGAAATCTGGATTAATAAAAGCATGTGGATATTTTGAAATCTGCACTACAAATTGTTTATAAATAAAGAGTCACTTTAAATTGGAATCAAATTAAGTTTTAACTAAATTTATCCTAAGAAACATAATTATTTACACCACTTAAGTTAAACAATAACTTGGTTTGCATTTAATTTTTTATTTATAAACAGTTTGCAGTCTAAATTTTAAAACAATCTTAAACGTATTAGATAAAAATGTGAGACACTTTCACGGGGTGAATTCTGTATGGCAAACTAACAATAAAACGAAAATCAAGAATCATGATTTTAGGTCCGAGGCTTCGTTTACGAGTTATTAATTGTTGAAAATATGCGTGAAAAACGTGTAAAATTCGTCTGACATGGCGGGTTATTCTACTTGAGAGCAAAGTTGGGCAAAATGTTATCTAATTACAAATTCAAAATTGCAATTAGAATGTAATTGCAATGTAATTGCGGGACAATTGCAATTACAATTACAATACAATTTTACAATTACATTGAAGTTTTTGTTGTAAATTAAGTATACTTTGTAATTGTAATTGTCTTGCAATTACATTATAATTGCGATTTGGATTTTGTAATCAGATTACATTTTGCCCAACTCTGTTTGACAGATGTGTTCTTCAACTGTTTCACGAGTTGGTTTCATTCTTTTCATTTTATTTCATTCATTGAATTTCACTAGGTCATCCATCGATACCGCATATCAGCTGGAAATCGGTTTTTCAACTACTACAACCCACTGCGCCAAGCGTATTTCACTTCGTTTTATAATTTGGCATGCAGAATCCACCCTGAGAAAGCTTCCCTCATTTTCTTAACACCCTGTATACATGGGTATATTATGAATATTATGACCACTGCATATACAGCTTGACGTTATAGTCATTAATATATTTCTTTGTAGTCTCCTCACTTCTTCTGTGCTATTGATCGTTAACATACCGATGTAACAGCAAATGTGTTTTCATTGAACTATTTACATTTGTGTACCAACGTTCGGTGAGATTTTTTATTTCATTTAGAATACTATAGAACCCTTGAGAAAGTCCACTATTTTGTCGTTGTTTCCAGTTTTTATACACAATCTATAAAAATTTATATTTACGTACACATCCGCAGTTTACCTGTAATTTAGAAACAAATAATCCTCGAATTTGGTGTGTATGAGTGCATGAAATATCCTGAGATAACAAATTGCGCTAATATTTACTTTGTATATATAAATTCATGTTCACATATTCTGTATTGTATTTATGTATGTATGATTAAGTCGTTTAAGTGCTATTATATTCTTATTCTACATAATTTTGTATGTTCCGATGAATACTTCCTGCATCTATATTTTAGCAAAACTGTTTGGAACACTATGTATAAAGATGAATCCAGCTGGATTCCGAGTCGGTAGTTTAAAGTTCTGCTAAACCTAACATTTCGCGGTAACTAAACAACACGAAACAACAATACAGCAAGATTTACAACTGACCATCCTGCACAAGCCCTGTTTCAAACTCGCTGAGCCAAGTAAATTCAGTACCGTTTCAATACTGAATGAAACGGTTTAGACGTTCGTACGTTCCATCTATAATAATAATAGTATTAAGCAAATTCGATTAAAGTGAAGGAGTAATCACATTCGAACATTTATATACATACACGGCGTTTCACATAAAGTGTTATAAAATGTTTTCTTTGCAATCACTGTAAATATCACCGCGAATTCTTCTTTAAATTGAATGTTTCAGGAGGGCTAATCATATAAAATGTAAAATATATTGGTGGGGGAATCTTCTAGGGGGGAAAGAGGCCGCGCCCTTTTTTTAATAAAACGGCGTATTAATTTTTCATTATGCGGAAAACTATTATCCAACAACATTTATTTGAAACATTTTTTTTATTGTGCATAGTTAAAGACTCGCAGCGAAGAATACTTTTCTCAGGAGGAGCTTCGAGGAGAATTCTAAAGATATTAAAATAAACGTATGCAGTTCAAATCGTTCAATTTGTTTTCATGATATTATTCCGGACATCTAACAACATTCCTAGAGTTATCGATTTATAAATGCTTTGTATTCTTCTCTTCGTGTCTTCTTTCGATGCAAGTATTGTAATCATTATTGTAAGTGTTGTTATTGTAATCATTAGTTGATTTTCTAGATAGCCCCAGATAACAAATTTGTGTATGCAAATGAAAATCTAATGTGCTATACTTGATTTGATAATATAGTACGAATTCATGTATTATTTCGATTTTTATTTTTTTCTTCATCTAAACGTGATTCTTGTAAGATGAAGAATTTTCACAGCGATCCTTATAAAAACGGGAAAATGAAAGGTGGGTTTGAATGGACCCTCCTTCCTATTCATCTATTTTGCCTACATTTTTTAATAATACGAGCCATTTGTACTAATAATAAAAATTTAATTACATATATACACTTTAAACGAAGATTTTATAGTTACCTACTCTTATTCTTAACCATTTTTGAAATATTTTTATTAAATAATAAAGGAAGAGCACATACATGCAATACTCGGGGTAAAATGATCGCACATTTGGTGAACAGGAATTAAGGCAAAATACCCTGAATAAATACTTCTACACATACTAAATTGCAGAAGATTATTTGCAAATGTCTTTTCCAATTTTCAGCTATTCTTAGTTTAAAATAGTACTGTCCAAAAATTTTAACAGTAGGTAAAACAGTAAATAAAAATTTACACTTTTCAAATCCACCAACTACCAAACTCGATGGACGAGTAGGTCTCGACACTTTTCACTCGGAGACTCTATTACCCTAACTGAATAGTAATTATAAGATCGAGTAAAACATAAACAAGTTGTGCTTTGTCATTAATGATTTATGAATGGTTCTAAAATTTTATTCATTAAGTTATTTCGGATGGAATCAACATGACATAGATATTGCAGTGACGTATGTCGCTGTAGCAGCGCCAGTGGAGTGAAGAGGGTTAATAGCGAATGCGTTGAAATTATGTAGCCGAAAAGTTGCGCTAGAAGAATCACATGTGACGAACATCACTCGGAGTGATTGTGAATTTTTTATGTGCGCATTTCCACGTTCATTTTGATTTCTTCTTAAAAAGCCGTCGACGTGAAAGCGCATTTTCAGGTCAACATTTGCACTTTATCCGTGAAAGTTTGAGCGAATTGTATTTGAAATTTGTACATCAATGAAAAAACTGTAAATCACTTTTGATATCCACGTGGAAGCCATTTGGTGAAATTATTGAAACATTTACGTTTTCTTTATAGATAAAACATTAATTGTCATCTTTACGATCAAGAGTAGTTTTATAATATTACACTTCGTTGTAACAGAATACTCAAAATTAAAAATACATGTCCAATATCATGTATGCCACTTATTTTGTATGTGGTGTAAGTCTAATTTCGAGAAAATCGGTAATACGGTTGCAGTGGTTATAAATAAGTAGGGATAAACTAGAAATTAACAAAGAAGAAATAATGGGCTTACACCATTTTGATAATAACTGGCTCATGCATTATAAGCAGAACGTAATAGTGTCTCTCAAGATGTTTACGATGCTGAGACGTCATTAACATGATGGGAGATTAGAGCGTGTAATTGTTTACGACTGATTGACTTCACCGACCGAAATAATCGACCAGGAGATGGAATAGAATCATTCTATAATTGCCAAAACAGAATAATAGGAAACCGTTGCAGTGAAGTATAATAATGTATAGTCGATAGAAACCGTATACATGGTGGTCTACCTAACTCTATGACCAGGAATATGTATCTCGCTTGCGTTTGATAAAACGAGCTGTGTTTTTTAAATTAGGTCCGTTTTAACAGTACCGCCAATGAAAATATGGAAGCGGGATCGTAATTTATATAGTATACATTTCTAATTCCTTAACTAGCTGGAAGCCATTTACTCTTACAAGGGAACGTTTTGTACTGTTACACCGGAAAATGAAAAATCTTGTGTGCGATTTATAGTCCCCCTGCCTTCATTGAAAGTGAAAAACCGTGGGTGCTCGGTTTTTGATTCAGCCAAGATACAGTGCATCAAAGTTGGTGAAAAAATAGACCCTACAAATTTGAATTACGTAATTCAGTATTGTTGTAATAATATGAGTATGTTTATTTTAAGCAAACAGAAGCAATTATACTTCTGAATACAACTAATATTTTACAAATGTCCTCTATCGGATCCTAACAATATTCATAAAATACAGTTTTTTGGCAGAAGGAATTAATATTTGAAGTGTATTTGTAATAAAGAAACCAAAGAAAAGTTGTCATTTTTGTTTTATTGTAATTCGTCATTTGATACAGTATCGCCCAATATTCCATGTACGTCATTTATCGTAAAAAATTGTACAAAGGGAATGTTAAAACACTCTGCGGGTGCACAAGAACAGTTATTAAAATCGAAACATATTAAACATATTAACAAAACTTTAGTCCTTCAAATCTGACTGATTTCACAGAAAATCTCGCATTGGACCAGGCGTATCGAAACATAGGTTTAAACAATACTGAACTAAACTGGTTGTATAGTAAAGAATTAAAATTTGTTTTTTTTTTATACAATGTGCATGGTTTGAACGTCAAAAAGTACTATGCATCGCGTATTTTTTTTTACGAAAAATCACGTACATTGAATATTGAGTGATACTGTATCATGTGACGAATTACAATAAAACAAAACTGACAAATTTTCTTTGATTTTTTTATTGCAAATACCCTTCGAGAATTAATTTTTCCTGCCAAAAAACTATTTTATGAATATTGTTACGATTCAATACACTAGAAGCGACATTTATCGTTTCCGAGGTTCGCACACGCGTAAGGGCGAGTAAATCGCTGACGGATAGACGCATTGAATAGCTACAGTATTAGATCAATTGTAAAATATTAGTTGTATTCAGAAGTATAATTGTTTCTTTTTGCTTGAAATAAACATACTCATATTATTACAACAATACTGAGTTACGTAATCCAAATTTTTAGGGTATACGTCACCTAATATTTTTACCAACTTTGATGCTCTGCATTTTGGCTAAATCAAAAAACGAACACCTACAGTTTTTCACTTTTAATAAGGGCTAAGGAGACTAGAAAACGCACACAGGACTTTTCATTCGCCGGTGTAACAGTACAAAACGTTTCCTTGTTAGTCAGATTCGCAATTATTACGGCACAACAATAACTTACGATGAGTACTGCAATAAATAATTCCGCCAACTGTGAAGTTCGTATTGTTATCAGATTTTTGCTTGCAGAAAACAAAAGTACATTAAACTTAGTGGGTAAAACTTAAAAGGGACTGTTCAGAACTAAAGACGTGGATCACTGTCCAATGGAATTATGCTTTCGCACGATAGTGCTCGACCCTACACTGCACATCGAACAGTTCAAATGTTTGAACAATTTTTCTGAGAAATTTTGTAACTATCCACTCGATAGTCCCGATTTTAACCAGCGGTTTTAAAATGATGACGAACTGAAGAACAGCGTCAATGCATGATGTAAGACTCTGGCGGTGGACTTTTCTGACAGTGGAATAAAAATACTAGTATACGATTTCAAAAATGTATCGAAGTTCATGGCGACTATGTTATTATTTAAACCTTCTACGATTTTTTCTTATCTTCGAACGGACTTTATTTAAAAAACAGACCTCGTATTAAGAAATGTTTCAGATACAAGTTAAATGGTTTCGAGGGAGTCATAGTTTCGTCTATTCCATTAATACCACTATGAATAATTAAAGTTAAAATATCTTCCAAACTAACAGTTCCATTTTACGAAAAGGTTAATATTTTTTTATATAGAATTACGAGCTAGATCAAGTGACGTAATAAAAAAATATACGATTCCCATAAAAAAAAGACAAACTTGACCTTTGTATATCTTCTATGCATCCACTTACTAGAAAATTAATCACATCAAATTATGCCCCCACCCCTTCCGAAACTGTATAGCTTGTATCTGGAACACTTTTTAATAGTATCAAAAACAAACTGGATATTCCCGGTGACAAAGTTAGGTGGACTACCCTGTGTAGTAAGTTCCTGGTAAAACAAATTATTATCTCTATTTTACATTTCATTCTTCTCCAATGAAAGATATATACATCTCTACTCGCCATTAAGTCGCCATAAAAATATTTTTCAATGGGTTTTGAGTAGTAACATTCACGAATTAATTGTTTGAAAACAGAAAAAAAAACTAGGTTTGGAGTGTCGTGATTGGTTAAAGGGGTCATGCTCAGTCAGGAGGCCGAAAAAAGCGTGTTCTTTGGGAATGTTTTTCTCAAAAACTATGAGTCCTTTTTCAAAAACTGTGTTTGCGTTTCAAAGGTTGCAGTTTCTAGATTATAAGGTAATTCTTTTATTTAAAAATATGTATTAGTAAATAAATGGTGAACGATCTCCCGAATGTCTCTTCACAAAAAGTGGTCTGCCATGATCACTGTAACTTCGTAACGGTTCATCTGAAATTAAAAATTCAGTAAGTTTTGTGTAATGGAAGAACCAATCTTGTTCTTGGACGTGGGGTTTTTCGAAATATTGATTAGGAACAAAATGGCGGACATTTTCCTGAAAAAGTGCGAATTTCATCTAAAAAATCACTCGTTTTTGGTCAATTAAAAAAAAAAGTATGGTATATGGACAAGTTTTTCTGATTTGAAATAAGGCGCAAAAGGCTTGATGTAAATCGACACAGTAGTTTTCGAGAAATATTGATCACCGATTTGAAAAATGTAGTTTCGAGAAAAACGCGTTTAAAGTTTCAAGTCAAGCTTACACTTAAAATATTCATTTTTAACGCCTGTAACTCTGTCATTTTTAATTGCATTACCTTGAAACTTGCACAGAATATTCTCGAGATGTTGAACGTAAAGAAAATGTAGAAAGTGAAAAATCGATTTTTTAAAAATTTCTGACTGAGCATGATCTCTTAATTAATTTATTAATAATATTTATTTTATGGCAGACTCGTAAAAGCAGATGGAAAAGTTCAATTAGCAAAAACGTTAACTGTTTATTGCTCTATAGTGGTGGAAAACTAGTATTCCTTCATCAAAATATTAATTGGGCGCATACAAATATACATATATTTCTGTAGAAATTATACGAAGCTCGAATTATTAACAAGAATGATTTGTTTTCAACTGTCCAGCTAATTGTCAGTTTAATTCGGAAATAATTGCCTGCAGAAACGAGCGAAATTTATCACGCTTCCACTAGAACGTTCGAATTTTTCGCTCGTGACCACGTTCCCCCTCTGTAAAATCAATACTCGAAATCGACACAATTTCGACACTGCCTATGAAATAAAAAAATTATAAGAATGATCCTGCACAAGTCACGCATAGCATTTCGAGTTGCATTCCCTCGATTTAACGCATTGACAACTATAAAAGGGGAATCTCGTTATCCAGCGTATGAATTATTTATTATTTCCTTGATAACGACATTTTTTTACATTTGGATATTACTGACATTGTTAGAGAGGACATTTTCTGTTTGGTAAATACCTTTTTTGTCCATATACTTATACATGTATTTATTTGAAATAAGTTTTGCACGTTTCAGCAAAACTTTATCGGCCATTAATGCATTAAAATAATTGATGTTCCACGGAAAGCAGTTATTTTTACCTAAACTGATGTTATTATACATATGATCCTATACTACAATAAAGAATGATTAATAATTAAGTCTGATGGAAATAAATATGACTATATTATTTTTATAAAAGAAATGTACTGCAAGTTACTGAAAAATATATAGAATGTTCCTTAATAAAAGAAACTATCGTAGAGATAGAAAATAATTGAATTTAAAAAGCTTATACTACGAATACTTGTTAAATGTTTGTAGCATAGGTCCGGAAACAAGCGTTTAACGAATAGCTGTATTGTTTCAGAAACACATCGTTTGAAGAAATAATAGCGATATTGTCATTTATAAATATTTAAGGAGTTTCTTTTGCATAAATATACATGGCGTTTTATGTGAATCAGTCATTAGTAAATATTGCAAGGACTGAAATGTATCATAAGAACATCGACACAATAATTGTAAAATTTAGAGTACTTTGAATATTTCATAATTTCCGTGTTGTTTTTTTAATCGTATTTTTAATAACTTCAGTTGAAACATTGTAATTACAATGGCTAAAACCTACATAACTAATTCGCTATTTTCTTTAATAAACATATGATACGAATTCAAAACATTTTGCATCAAATTTTTTTTAAGACTTGCGGTGCATGTCTGAGAAGGAGTATGAATACTATTGAAGCAACAGAGTCTTCTAATTTTCTTTTTAATGAATATTAAAGTTAAAGAAATACAGTTGAGTATTTATGAATACATCTAATATATTTATTTTCGTAAACAAATTTGGAGAAATTATAAATTTGCTGTATATGTTTTAAAAAAATTCCCCTTCTAGTTCGTTATACTTTTATTTACTGCACTCTGGATGTTTTCATATTTTACGTGGTCGAATATAAATTTTCTGAATTACTATACAACATTTCACTGTGCCTATTTGCACCTAAGAGTGATGTTACAACAGCGAAAAAAAACCTCTGGTACTAATAGTGAGTATGAAAAGAAACTATGAATACAATACTGAAAAAAATTGCTGCTCCTAAAATTACAAAATATTTTTATGAAAAGTTTAGATAGTACGCCGTCATAGAAAGGATGGTAGAAATTAAAGCTATAAAGAGTACTTAATTAACCAACACAAGATACTCTAATTCTTACATTTCTATAAATTACTACATCATCAATAAAATGATCGGTCTTATAAATATATCACTTATTACTTTAAAATTTTCGTGTTCCTAGTACGTATTAATTTGGACAATAAAGTTTTAATACTATTAACAATGCGTGAATAAAAACTTATATAAAGTAAAGCAAATATCGTGTACAATGTCTATAGCTTTATGCACAATTTAGTGTAGCAATTCTTTCACGTAATTATCTCATATCATATAAGCAGTGGTGATTTGTCACTTGCGGTAGCCCACGTTTAAATCGGTCTACCGAGAAATTACCAACTCGCCTGGTGAGCTCAATTCACCTTTGTTAACAACTTGGGTCAAATCGAATTAGATAGTTTGCTAACTTGCTGCATTGGCAAAAACCTACTTTGTCCTAAAGCTGAGGCATTATATTTCGACTCAGTGACTTACTACGTGTTTACAGTTTGTTTACAAACAAAATTGTTGAAAATATACATCGTGTAAAACTTTATTATTTTTCATAATCTTCAGGATTGAATACTCACGTTTTAAGCAACGGACAGTTCTCTGAAAACATTTTATTTGAAAATTAACTTGTATCTTGAAATTGAAAGTCAAACAGTTATTTAATTTTTTGGCTACCATTGTCAGATATATCCGTCATCTACGAAAAGGTCCCAAAATACCAGTATCGGGTACATCCTTCATCTATAAAAAAAACTCCGCGTTTAGGTACTTCTTAGTGTATACAGAGTGTAACAAAAATGTTGCAGATCCCTGAATTGGGACATTCGTGAGGCGATTTGAAACAAGATTTTCCTTAGCAAAAATGTTATCCGAGGCTTTGTTACCGAAATATTAACGAAAAACCCTGACCAATCAGATGAAATGACTCCTAGACGAAATGATTCCCTAAAACAAAAAATTGTCTCACGATTGTTGCTACAAACTGCTGCAAATGTTCGAGATTAGTCTCGAAAAAGAATTCGAAGGAGCACTTTCTTGATTTTGAATAAATAAATATAACAAAACTATAATGATTACAAAACAATACCTCGAAGCACCGAACAAACAGAAATACGTTTATTAACCCGGAGCGCCGGTATTTAAATGTATTTTAATAGGGAGCACCCTTAGCTAATTCGCACGTTTCTAGTACAAAAGTTCCTCACGAAAAATTTTTGCTTTATATCAACAGTAATGTTTACTGAACGTAATACTGGAAAAATATTGACAAACCAACATACACTAAAAAAGTTACATTTTCAATCTAGTCATCATTTTATGTGATAATGTAACAGTGAATTACGACTTTAACAGGAGGTGAAAATCCAGAAGTTTCTGAGACAAGTAGATAATTACCTGTACTACAAGAATCCATTGTTATTTGATAAAATATTCACTTAGAAACAGGACGTGTGGCATGAACACTCGAGACGTGAAAAAAACTGACTGTTACAGTGCCTCAAGAGGCAGTCAACTAGCTACTGTTTATAAAACAAATGCAATCATATCTAACGTGATGAGGTCCCTAGCTTGTTCAGCGTTTTTCAAGCGAGTATAAACTGACCAACTAATTTTAACTTATTTCATGACATAACAATTTTCTTATTAATTCCACTAATTTTACGGTAATAGCCCAATGTGTGGCGACCAAATGGTAGAACAGTATTCTAAGTGAGGCCTATTAATAGCTCACCGCTCGTCGTTTCGCGTAAAGAACAATACATTTGTTTTTGGCTATAGAATAACACTGGTCAACAAAATTTAATTTTTTGTTTGCCTTCGAACATCCAGTTGCTAATTCTTATAGATTCTTCTGTGCTGAATACGAATCCGTAAACAGTTTTTTGCCATCACCCTCAATTCCCGAGAAATTTGATTTAAAAGAAATTCAAATTTTCAACTTTGAACATTTCCTGTGTTCAAACATTACTAGCTATTCAGTTGATTGTTGCGTCAAATTATTCTGTAAACTCTCCCGAATAAAATGGTATACGTTGTTATCGTATTATTAATATTTAAACATGTTTAAATAACGATCATAGGGAAAAGGACACCCAAAATGGACCAATTTTTACAGATATGTTTCAATTTATTTCAAAAAGTAAGAACGGCAGTCGAACCCTGCGCTTGCCGCCTTTGAGTACCATTGCCAGCGTCGCAGATGTTACTAAACTATTTCGCTCCTGTATTGAACACAAAATGTGTCGTACTATTTCTGTTAATGCTTTCCGGAAGAATAATGTTTACTGTATGTGCTGACGCAGTCAGATTACATATGTCCTGCACCCTTACTTTTTGAAATAAATTGAAAAATATCTGTAAAAATGGATGCATTTCAGGTGTCCTTTTTCCTTTGATCGTTGTTTAAACATGTTTAAATGTTGATAATACGATAACAACGTATACCATTTTATTCGGGAGAGTTTATAGAATAATTTGACGCCACAATCAATTGAATAACTATTAATGTTTGAATACAGGAAATGTTTAAAGTTGAAAATTACATTTTTCTATAAAATCAAATTTCTCGGAAACTGAGGGTAATGACAAAAACCTGTTTACGAATTCGGATTCAGCACAAAAAAATCTATAAGGATCAGTATAAATGTTCTTTGGGAGAAAAATCATGTTGACCAGTGTTGTTGCGTCTGTTTTAATAATCGACGTCGTGTCGCACGCCAAATTAATATTGTGCGACTGGTGAAAAATTTTATTTTAAAATAAATGACGACTCAATGAAGGTACTATGTAAATTTTATTTACTGTTTGAGATGGTCACACTTGACTGGTTTGATATCGTGTCTGTCGTGTCGTGCGAATAACTTCATATATAAGTTTTGTCAACACTCTCTGTCTCTCTCACTCGGACTGTAGGTTGCGAGTTGACCATAGATCGTTGGTTTGAAATTCTTATTGGGCCATTGGCCTTTTGTTATTTGGTGATCTATCGGTCAGCTGTCGATACAAACAGTGCACTCACACACGCCAATATACCGGACGCTGACGACTGAACCGAGCGACTGACCTCCGAAATGTTTTCATTTTGGGTCTTTGACACGTCGCTCGGTCAGCTGCACCTACAAAACATACCTAAGGTTGCGAACGACAATCTTCGTATTATGGACGGAGTTTCGCTATTCCGGCATATAATTATACGACGGAACAAGTGTAATAATCAGTTTTCCCGAATTCAAAATCCCAGCTGCCCCAAGAATGGCATGGGTTCCGTTACATGGAAAAGTAATAATGTTCTCATACTTGTCAAGCAGCGAATGGTAAAAGAGCACCGGGTAACAGGCCGCGTCGTCCTTGTTCCAAGCCGTCTCGGATCGAAACAATTCCCCGCACCGTTGATTGTTTCGCGACCGTTTCGTTGTCGTGTGACTCTTCAGGCAGAAGCAGAGAACCGACAGACAGATGAAGAGTATTGAAACGCCGGCTATGGATTTCGCCGTGGCGGAGGTGTACGGCTCATCGAAAATAGCCCAGATCCTCGGCCATAGCTTCTGCCATTTCGAAAGGGTGCCCCTGTTGTATTCCTCTTCGAAACCGAAAAGCCGCGCGATCTCCTCCTCGCTCAGCTTCTCGCCTTCCACGTCGAGCTTGTCGAGAATTGCCAACGTGGCCTGCGTGTCCCTGTGAACGCTGTAAATAGTCCAACAGTCCTCCAACATCCTCCAACTCTACCTGCAATACACGTTTTAGTAGGTGTTGCTAGAGGAATTTGAGAAATGTTGGGTCGCAAAGTCCTTAACGCGATTGTTTTAACGCTTTGTGACTTGACGCACAGAATTAACTTTGTGTAATTTGTTGGGTTGATACAAAAGTTTACTTGTTTCAACGAATAACGATTTATTAGAAAATAAAGAAGTACACAGAACACTGTTGAACAAATTTGAAATTTTTTCGTTTTTGTAATCTCTTAATTGAGCTGAATACGAATCTGCAAACTATTTCTTTCCAGCACTTCTAGTTTTCGAAAGAACCAACGGTTTTTAAAATTGCAAATTTCAACATTTGGATGTTTGTTGTACTTTTACAGTAATAGTTATTCAGTTTCCTTTGACACGAAACAATTCTCTGGTCTCTTTCGAACAAAATGATATAAATTGTTGTAGGTGAGGATTTTGTGCGTGCCTGTGGACTCTAGAGTAAGCTGAGTGTTTTGAATAAACGATGAATGTTTGGAACCGAGCAAACGTTTAGACTAAGATATCGATTAAGAAAGTCTGTAGACTGCGTCGTGGAAATTTGAGCGCCTTGCGTTCGGTGTGTCTGTGGGTGTGTGTGGGTAACCTTCGTGAGGGGTATGGCTTGGGACCTAGAAACAGTCGAGTGGTGAGATTGTACTTGGAGAGTCGACAGTTGTGATTCTGTATAGAGACTTGTGTAGTAACTAATCTGAGACGTTAAACTATTAGTGTGTTGCGTGTTTTATTTTATTTGACTATACCTTTATTTTATTTAATAAACTATCTGTCTATATCTACTAGATTTCCTATTTAATTTCCTACATTGTTATTATATTATAAACATGTACGTACAGTGGACTCTAACTATATTGCCATGGTCGTGGCTGTAGCGGAGTAAAATGGCAATGAGTTCAGAGCCCCCTCCATACTAAGTTCTATCGTCGTAGCCTCTGCTTGAGCCTCTGCGCACAAGTCGAATCGTGCTGGTGGGGACGGCGTACATAACGTGGTGAGAGAGCGATATTTGTGTGCGTGACACTACGTGTGAAGGAGAAGTGCCTCCCGTGGCAGTATGTTTAGTGGCAATATAGTTATAGTCCATTGTATGTTTAAATAATGTTCAACGTGAAAAGGACACCGAAAACGCACCCATTTTTGCTGATATTCTTCAATTTATTTCAAGGGTCTATGAAATTATTTTATTCAATATTCAATTCATTTTAAGGATCTATGAAAAAGTATAAATATAGTACACAATAGAGCACACCTTCCTGCTAAAGTTATACAATCTGTTTTGTTTTCAATAAAGAAGCGAAATAGTTCAGCAAAACATTCGGCGGCGGCAGTACTCAATGACGGCGGTCGCCGTGCCTGCCACTCACAAGGGAAGGACCCCAACTGTACCATTTCGATTCTATCGAAGATATAATTAATTAAAGTTATATATCCAGTTATATATGTTGTACCCTCGCGAGCAAACTCGGCTTCCACTAGGAGAAAAAGTGATTTAAAGGAAAGACCTCCTATCACTTGGTCTCAGAGTTATTGAAAATTATGCGAAATTAACATTCGGTTTAACATTCATGTCAGTATTTAAAATAAATTTATCAAGCAGTAGGAGGCCTTAACCCCTAGATTGCTTTTTCCCCTAGTGGAAATCGAGTTTGCACGTCAGTGTTCCTACAGAAGACTCATGGTAAAGTAGCGGTGCGGAACTCTCAAGGTGGATTTTTCCTGGAAAAATTACTTTAACGTGAGCCAATGGGCACGCAGGATCTTGTGGCAGTTCAGTCAATTCACCAGTTGGATCAGAACTTTGGTTACAGATGGCGATCGATAGTAAGGTGCGTGTACGTGTGTGAGTAATGCTTGTAAGCTGTGGCGTTCTTACCGTTACTTTATCATGCTCTACTTTAAATACAGATGGACCCTTAGGTAGTGATGGGTAATCGATACGGTTCGAGCCGAGCCGAGTATTAAAGGAGGAAGCTCGGCTCGGCTGGAGTCGTATCGATACCGGTTGACATCATCGTTCCACCCTAAGAAACGCTGGCGACGGGCTTCGGCGAGGCGAGATGTTATTATAAGGTAACTCTACGCGCCGAGGCTTCGCGTGCCAGTGCCTCGTATCTCCGCTGTCACCTCATAAAACTGTCATTTTGGCCCGCTTGACCAGCCGAGCCGAGCCGGTGAATCGAAAGCTTCCGATACAGCTCGAGCTGCTCGGCTCGACTACCCATCACTACCCTTAGGCCTACTGTCCACTAAGGCGTCTCGTCATAAACATGTCAGCGTAGCGTACAACATGACGATTACGCTACGCTCGAGTTTCTGTCCACTTGAGCGTATTGGAAGCATATAGGAAGCGTACAGAAAGCTTCATTTTCATCATTCGTAAAGATGTCGGGCGACGAAGAGGACCTTATGGCATTATGTTGTAATTATATTTGACGGCGTAAAAGTGGGAAAAGATATTGGTTACATAGAATAAAACATAAATGATCATGTATTTCATTCTTTCTATAGAATGAATAAAAATACGTGCAAGAATTTAGTGCGTTTTGTAGCTCCGCTAATCCAAAAACAAGACAGTAAAGTGCGATGTTGTGTTAGTTATCTACAAACATGAATATTTTTTCTGTTTTTTTATATTTTATGGGTAACTTTTCAACAATCTGTACCAATTTCACGGCCGATATATTTCACATTCAAACACAAATGAAAATTTTGCGTCCTTCTGTACGTCCAGCGGCAGACATCGTTGTCGACGCGCTTCATGCCGAACGCATGCAGCGACGAAAACGCGACGCTGAAGCATATGTGAACGCACGTCCATTGTTTTACATTGTTCGTTACATGGAAGCGTCCTGCAAGCGTCAAATGTCTATGAAGCGTCTATGACGAGATGCCTTAGTGGACAGTAGGCCTTAGTTCGTGAAATAAATTGAAGAATATCAGCAAAAATTGGTGCGTTTTCGATGTCCTTTTCACTTTGAACATTATTTAAACATATTTAGATGTCTATAATAAAATAACAATTTAGATTCTTTTGTTCGGAAGAGTCCAGAGAATTATTTCTTGTCAGTGTAAGCAATATAACTATTACTGTAACAGCACGACACAGCTCCAAAGTAGAAAATTTTCACTTTTTTAAAATATTGATTTTTTCTAAAACTGGACGTGCTAAAAAGAAACGATTTGCAGATTCGTATTCAGGCCATACGAATCTATCAGAAACGCTTCTAAGAAACGTTATGAGTTATTTTCGTGTTGAACAATCTAATCACAGAGGTAACGGCAGTTACGAGGACTTATATGAAGAGGTTGTCTGATGGTTAAATTTTGACTAACGATTCTAACTGGCCATGACGATCAGAAAACCACAAATATGGGAGACTATGCTCTATCGTCTAAAGGCTCATTTACATGTACAAATAATTTGCGCAAACTGACTTTTATGTTACACGTCTATCTTGCAGAGTTAATTATTTTATGTCTTTTTTATAACCGGTAATTGTTGGTGGTAAGTGTCGTTGTATAAAATTACATAGATATCAAGAAAAATTTAGTAAAAAACTTTACGTAAACCTAAGTTACAGAATTAAAATTACCGCTATGGCAAATTCTCACTTTTTTAAAAGCAATTCACACTTTATTCGAGCATTGTGTCGTTCAAATATTTTTTTTACATGAAATTAGGAATGTGATAATATAATAGGATACACTTGAATTATACTTATTGTTAGAAAACTACATCGATTATAAAATACGAATTACCAGCACAAAACTGAAAATTAATGCAGTACAGGAGAATACAAATATTGATACGAACGATTGCCTGTGAGGTTACATTTTCTCCGTAATAGTAGTTCATGCTACCTAAGGATTTAATAAACGGAATTCTCTTCACTGAAATACCGTGAATTCTTGTAAAATGAATAATGAATTACACTCACGTGAGGTACACTGTCTGTGAATTCAATCCTCCAACGATGCAATTGCATAATTTTTATTAAAGGATCTTGTCAATTTTCATAAATGCAATTATTGTCTAAGAAGCAGGTTTGTCGAACACAATTGTTCTCAATCGGCAATACAGTATCAAACATCGATGTAACTTCTTCGTAATTTATTAGGTGATGATGAATGATTACCAATTACAACATTGCTATAGTTAGAATACACGAAAGCTTTTAAGACTCGCCAGTAAAGATAGGATGAATAAAGTTAGGTAGGTACGTTTAGTAAAATTGATTAATGTATATATACGGACGAAGATTTAATAGAATAAATGAAGACACATTTGGAGCAGCTTTACCTTTCTAGAATTAATCAGTCTAATGTCGAACTACAAACTCTTATTAAATTGACAAGGAGTTAGTCTACTGTAATATTTTGCATAACTTCATTTCTATGTATGTATAATTTTAGTTAATTAGAGTATGTTAGCCTTAAATGTAGTGAATTTGCATAAATTCACGTTTCATAAATAATATTTTATTATCAGACTATATTACAAACATTGTAATAATTGTACGCAAACTTCAATAACAATAAGTATTCAAGTCTTTTCCATTTTTTTAAACACATGTTTTATTATCTACTAAAACCCGATATCTGAATGTGTTTGTAACATCTTACTAACATTTGACTTGTTGCAAATAAATTATTATTCTATTTACATCTAATCAAATATTATTCTATGCAATCATTAATCTATGCAATAGGAGTTTAAATATAGATATCTGGGAACTTATTAGTTTTCAAGTTGAATTCTACAAATGTTTATCCCGTCAGTCTAATTAAGCGGTTAGTATTTGTTGTGCGGATAACGAGAACTTACGTATAATATCCTTTTGAATCGAATAACAAGGCTACCAACATGTTTCTGTAATACTAGCTGTCGCGAAACAAACGCTTCTGACCCGTTCGGTCAATAGCGGTTGCATGGCTTGTGCATTTCGAAAGAGACATTTTCAGCGATATTAAAGCACTCTTGTGTTTCAGATTCAAACGGCGAAATGGATGGACATGCACCGTTACGCTGAATAGGTAACGTTGTTATGAAATAATTCAATGTCATTTCAAATAGATACAGAAACGACGCATCAAACAGGTCATTTTTAATCTTAGAAATTTTTATTAAAATGAATACAAGTTTTGAAAAATGTACAAACAGAATTTTCGATTCTAAAAGTCCTATTTTTATTATTATAATTAGACTTTCTAAGGGTATGATACTGCCGAAGGATTGTATAAAATCAAACTCAGTATTCCAAACAATTTGGAAAATCGAATTTTGACTTCTCTGGATAAAGATTATTTTTCTGCAGTTTTATTTCAAGTTATTGCTTATTAATTATTACAATTATTAGCAATAACCATTTCTAAACATTTTGATTTATAGTATTCTGTTGTAAATAAGCTGTTTACCTTTAACCATCTAATGTTAACCCTTTCACTTCTGGTTTTGTTGTTTGATATTTAAACTGTTTGTGAAACAAAAGATATTTAGAAATATTAATAGAAAGTAATCAATTGTTGGTACGATAATTGGAATCATTCTGTTGGAATTCAGTGTTTATTTAAATAGCAAAATCCGGTACCACAATTTTCATGAAATTTAATTAGAATAAACACTAAATGGTCACTGTATACCATATTTACATAAATAGGAAGATCGAGCCGCGAGTTTGGCATTGCCGAATCAAAGGATGTCCGCAGTCTCTGCTGCAAGTTTGGCATTAATCAATCAAATGACGTTCGCAGTCAAACGGTTAAGCTATTTAAATAAACGTGATGTCTACCAGAAAGTTCTGTCCACTCTAACGTACAGGAATTTCCAAACTTTAAGCTACTAAAAGCAAATTGCAAATGAATATTAAACTGTTCCATTTCCGTTTATCTTATCTCTTGCACCTAAAATATCACTTCTACTTTTAGGAGAAGGCTAAATTGCCTTTGGTGGGATTGTTAAATTTAAGAGATCATATACTATGATGGATGAAACACCTTCCCGAAGATTACTTCTTTCGAGATTTCAAGGTCATCTGTATTTTTCTTCTTACACAATACCTACTTTTTTGCACAGTATTATAGAGCATTTTAGGAGAAATTTAATAAACTCTACATCTGATGTGCTTGAAATAACTTTAAAACCTAAAAATTATAATTTGTCTAGTTTCAACACTTCTTTTCGGAGGTTTTATTTTACTTATTCGTTTATATCGTTATGTAACTATCGAAATATGCCTTATTTCATTTAAGAGTAATATAAAATCTGTTGTTCGCTCAATGCGTTTGCAAGAATATTCACTCGTAGCATTTCACCAACTCCACTCTTCCACAAGAAATTAGTAATTGCCTAACTCATTCATAGTGTTTCGAAAGAAATACATGTGACCCTCGTATAACACTTCATTCCCATAACACGGTTTCGCTGTAAAACGGTTAGACAATTCGGAAAACCCCTAAATGGCACAGTACTCCAACAACACGGCTTCACTCTGCAAGACAGTTAAAGAATTGTGTAGAATAGTGCAGTTTTGTTAGTTTTTAGACACCTACCCCGTTTTTTACATGCATATCTGGCCCCCGAACCAGAGTGTATTAATTCCACTTTTAAAAAAAATGACAATCTACATGTTTCCTGTATCAGACCCTCAAGATTTCAGGCATGGGAGCGGCATCATAAACCTAAACGTTTGACTCCGAACTTGAAGTTTCTGTCTATTATTTCCATTGCTTTTTTATTTATTAGATCCAGTTATTATTTTACAACAACTATTGAACCGATTTTGACCGAACGTAGCTATTAACCTTCCCGGAAATATATGTATATTCTAAAACCAAAAAAAACGCATTAAAATCGGATCATTCGTTGATGAGCTATAGAGCCACAGCGAAACAGGCACACACAAACACAAACATAGGCGTCAAATTTATAACACCTCTCCTTTTTGCGTTGGGGGTTAAGAAGAAGCTAAGCAGAGGTTCGGCATTGTGCAAAAAACAAATTTATGGGGGGCTGAAAACCGTTTAACCTTGCCACGAATGCTCCGGAGCGGACTCGACTTTGTTGCACTCATCAAGACATTACTGAACGTTTCGAGACCAACATCGAAACGTGCTGCGTTTCGTCGTCACAAAGTCGAAAGTGCCAGTCTACGTAAGACAAATCAAACTTGCTACTTTTTGTAACGCACGTCGATCAGTTCTTAGTTTCGTACAACACGAATGTGCATAAAAAAACCCACAGACCAATGCGTATATTCACAGCGGTAGCGAGTTTTTTGTGGCAATAGGTTCGTAACAGTATAATGAACGTGGCGTGGCGGCTTATGCGTTTGCTCACTCCAATGTGAAAAATTTTCGCTGACACTGCAAATTTCTAGCGTTTTTTTCAGTGGCGGATTTATTTCGCTGTTCATTGCGTTTTCTTTCGCTGCCGCTATATATTTGCAACAATATGATAAATGATGTAATTGTGAATGTTCACATGATTGTATTACTAGATTGACAAATCCTTCTAACTTTGTTGGATCACTTCATACGTAAAATTTATTATTTTCGTAACATATGAATATTATTTGTAATTATTTCGTTGTATTGTCATATTTTCCTCTCTGTATTTAATGTTTACCAGTAAAGACAAATGTGGTAGCTGTATATTACGTATCACACCTTTTTTATATTAATGCATATCAACTGAAGAGTCCAAGAGAGACATGATCATAGTTACAAAAAGTAAAATTTCTAGTATTTGTAAAACAAAATTTATGTACTCCCTCCTACTAGGGTAAATGTCCCAATTATTACCAGTGTCCCAGTTACTGCCAGTGTCCCTAATACTGCCATTTTATTTATTTTTGTTAATAAGAGTGTAACATACAAAGAATTGTGTACACAAAATTTCATTATTAAATTGGGACTCCGATTTACATAAAAACAATGAAATACATGTACTTGATGTTTAAAAATTAATGTTGAAAAATGAAAGTGCAATTGGAGCATTAAAAACGCGACAACGTAAGTAGGAAGTGACAGCGAAATCATATTGAAGATAAAACCGTAATTTTACAATTCAACCTATATTAATTTTATAAAATGAATTGTTACATATATCAGAATTACTTTAATTGTCAAGGTGATAGTTATAGGGATACTGAAATTGCTCGCAGATTTTCATAAATTATTAATTAATTCTTCATATTTAATGTATCAAACTATTGTTTTTTAACGAAAGAGATGTTAAATAATATTAACATTCCAGCTGAAACGATTTTTAGATTAAACAACACGTAAAATGATTAAATGAAGTTATGCTACAATCTTAAGGTGACACTAATTGGGACAGCTACCGTATACACGATCGAAAACTTAATATTATACTTCTTTATAATGGGTTTCCGGGTCCGTTCATAAATTTCATGAAAGTAACAATTGTTTTCATAGTCTGGACTTTTGTCTAATGTTATTTTAATAAGAGATAGTATGTACTCCAATTTTCCTTAGGAAAAAAATTCCTTTCCCTGTTGGGAATAAAAATCGTACTGCTAATGGTTACAGGGTTAGTAACGCAAAATTTTAAAAATTTTTAATATTTATTATTAGGAACAGTTAAAGTGTGATAAAACAAGAAATGACATTGATCGTTCTTTCCCAAACCTGGGATTCTTTAGTCCTTAATTTTTCGGGATTGGACCCGCTGTTTCCTCTTATTATACTACAATTTGATAGCTTTTCTTAAGCTTTAACACATGATGCTAAAATCTCAATTTCAGTTTCCGATGGTCGATGATCGTTTTTATCCTGGGCTCTTCAACTACATAGAATAGACTTACGAAAATGCAACGATATTACGAAATGCGATGCAACGAAAGAAATAACAGTTCTAAAACAAATGTTGTCCTGATACCATTTTACAGAGAAAAATATGTGATTATAACTAAATATTTTGAAATCATATTTATATGTAATGAAATGAATCAATTTTATGGATTAAATGAAACGAATTTAGAAAGATTTGTCACTCTATTAACATTATCATGTGGAAGTTCACTTATATCATTTATCATATTGTTGCGATTTTAGAGCAGCAACGGCAAAAACTCCTTGGGAAGCGACATAAATTCGTCGCGAAGAAAACCCTACGAATACGCAGTCTTAGCGGAAATTTTTCGCCACGTTCAGTATACATAATGCTGCGAATCTATCTCCACTAAATATTCGCTGTTGCTGCGAATATTTTGCGTTAGTCCCTAATTTCTTTAAGGGGTTTTGCCACTGTGAAGACCTAAAAAATTGTAATTTCTTGGGAATGTTTGTATCTGTGAACGAAATGTTCAAGATAAATGAAGTGTTGTCGAATTATTAATACACTTATTGACAGTATAAATAAATTTTTGTTGAAACTTTTAATAGATTTCTTTATATGTATACATATATCGCACTGAAGTGAGCGCTTTGAAAAAATTATGTAGTGCTCTGGAAAATAGTAAAGGTCGCTTTTTGCGACTTTTTTATTTGAGATAGAAAGAAAATTTAACGTGTAGATTGCTTACAGTTATGTTAGTTATATGCATGCTGAAAATTTCATCGAAATCGGTTAACGTTGTTTTGAGATACAAACAGTTAAAAATGTTGAAAATCGCAGTTTTTCGCGACTTTTGACCTACAACTGTAGCATATCTAAAGATTCTTACATCTTTCGATGCCTGTTATTCGTTTCTGTATTAACCGATTTCAATCAAAGTTGCAGCATGTATATATCTAACATAAATTTTCGAAATGTATTTATTAAATGTCGCAAATTTTTCAAAAATTTGTTAACACATCATTTAGTAAACTAATTCTTCTAACTTCACAAAGAAACTCAAGTCACTTGGTACAATTTTGAAAGAGTTGCTCTGTTTTAAAGGGTGTACGAATACTTCTTTGACCCACTGTATATAAAAAGACTATTAGAAGTTTCAAAAAATATCGTTTATACTCTGAATAAGTCTATTAATAAATAGACAACACTTCAATTATCTTGAATATTTCGTTCATAGATCAAAAAATCCCCAAGGAATGACAATTTTTCAAGGTTTTACAATGGCAAGAACCCTTAACACGAATTGCCATGAAACGACAATTTTTAAGAACCCAACAATCGTGTTATATGAGGATTATATACCTGTAAAGATCATTTGCCAAAGAAGTGAGGTAAACGCTAGACCTGATTAGAATCCAGACCCCAAAACTCGAGCTCCTCCTCGAATAATGGTCCACAGACGTCCGTCGGGTAATGAAGTTTTCCGGTCCGGCAGTACTTCAATACTTGGGCGAAAACACCTGGATGGCGGTCGTAAAAGTACTCGTTCAAAATGGGATCGTAATTGGCCAAAGCTTCTGCCAAACGAGAGAGCCGTGTCGCCAGTATTTTCTTGAGGGTCGACTTGTACGTCTCGTGTCGCACACCGCCGACATTCAGTATCATTCTATCGTTCCATCTGCCGTCATCCAGTTCCTTCATCTTCCTGAAATCCTGTCGCTCGCATGGTAGAAGGGAAGTGAATAGGCTTGCTAGCGGTCTTCACGGTGAGCACTGTGAAATAAAAATTGGTAATTTCGATGAAGAGAGTGGCTAATAATGTTTCACCCCAGGCCCGGATTAAAATTTGTTGCAACCCTACAGCACGACAAATACATAAGTTTTCAAAAATTGAAAATTTTAAATAACATTAAATGAGATTTAATCATAGCGAAACGGAAGGTTCAGAACTGAGCCCCCTGGAACGTGGGGTCTGGGTCTATAGCGCACCCTAGACTCCCCTTGATCCGGTGCTGTTTTACCTAAAAATACGATGGTGTACTACAGAGCGGTCTGATATCGATAGCGCCATCGACAATAATCATAAGTTTTTTAATTTTTATGTTTTCTTTATAAAACATAAAATATAAAGCCTCAAATTTTTGTTGGGGTTATCCGGACCCCGGGTGACCCCGAAGGGTTAAGTGAATATTCTCGGACGGGATAAAATTTATGTAAAAGGAAATTGTAAGGAAATATAAATGAAAAGTAAATTACTTGATAATTCCTTAAAGCAGATTTTGATAGACCCTTGTGGATTTTAGCGAGCAGACAGATTCTTACGGATTTTATAAAATTTAAAAAAAGTATTTTGCAGTATCACGTGGCGTCGTATACCCTAATATCAATTACAAGATATGTAGCCCTGGGTGGTTACAGCACCGCTTGTGTCATTGACTAATTTGATTAACACTCATCGGAAATACGTAAGTCCTCACGTCTGACGTTTTTCAATCATATTTTTAACAATTAACAACTAGAAAGCGAAGGCTCAATGTGGAATCACCCGTTAAAGTTTCTGACATCAGTAACCAAACATCCTGTATAAAGTATTTTTATTAATAATATGAACAAACAAGAAATTATATTCATAAAAAGTATTGACTCAGTCATTACTAATTTGAAGTTAGTAGTGACAATAAAATTTCAGTAGTAAAATCATACAAAAATGCGATTTCTATCCTTTCGGTTCAAATGATCCCTTTATTCGATCTGATTAATTGTAAGAAGTAAAGACAATGCTCAGAATCAAATACCGTACAAGATGCAAAGTAAATGCTTTCTTATTATAAGCTTTTCATCCAATGTCGAGTCAATATTTTTCATCTAACTGCATAAACCCTCGACGTTGGGAAAGCAATCAATATGTACTTTGCGTTATTAAATTTGTAGCGTTCAGAAAAGGGCTTTGCGATGCAATATCGTACAATTATGGTAGCTGCACCTATTGATTCCTCGAGAAGTAGTTTTTTGTAATATACTTAAAAGGAAACCAAATCCAAAGTCAGCATAGTCACAAAGAACTACAATTCGGTAGTCGGAAAAAACTGATTGGAAAATAGATTGGAGAAAAACAAATCCGGAGGATAACTGATTTATCACCAATTGTACAATTTTGACCAAGCCCTTATTATAATTAGGTCATAACATATGAAATGTCCGATTCTTTCAGTTCATTAGGAGCTCACTTTTAGAGTTTCTTTATTTTGCCGATCTCTTTCAACTATTTAGACACTGCTATAGCATTTGTTCAATTTGTGCAGTAAGTTCTGCAAATTGCAACGATCGTCTTTAACTAAAACCTGCAAATCTTCATTTATCATTTTTTTCGCAGGTCTACCCTCCTCTTCATTTTGAAGGCTGATATCGCCAGAAAAAGTTTTGGAGAACCAACGACGAAAAATATTTTTATTATCACTACTCCTCCCAGAACCTGTATTAAGAAGTTATGCCCAGTCGGGAGGCCGAAAAAAGGAGTGATTGTTGAGAATTTATTTCTCAAAAAACTGTAAGATCTTTTTAAAAAAATATTACCTTATTTAAAGCAGTGTATTTAATAGAGAATTTATGTTTTTCATTTAAAAATATTCATGAATAACGAAGTGGTGGCCGATGTGCCAGAGATCTTCTAAAAATATGATGTTCTGCGGTGACCACTGCTGCTCGGTACTGGATCATCTGAAATTAAACATTCAAAAAGATTTATTTAATATATTAAATTATCTATTCTTTGAACAGTGAACTTTTTTTTCGTTGCATATTTGCATTTATTTTATCAAAAACGAGCGCGTTTTTTGTCAAAAATCGCAACTTTACCTTAAAACGTCCGCTATTTTGTCCCAAATTACTATTTCAAAAAGTTCTTTGTTCCAAGACTAGATAATTCAATACACTAACTAAATCTTTTTCCACCTTCAATTTTGATAATTTATTACTCAGCAGAAGTGGTCACTGCAAAACATCTTTTCTTGAAAAGACTTCCAAGAGATCGGCCACAACTTCGTCACTGATCAATATATTTTAAAAAAGTTACGAGATGCTCTCACAAATACACTGTTTCAAATACGAGAATATTTTTTTTGAAACAGGTCTTACAATCTTTGAGAAAAAAATTTTCAAATATCACTTTCCTTCTTGGCCTCCTGACTACAGACACAGTACAGACACTAGGTACAGTCCCTCAATACAATTACGTGCAGTTTTGGCCCTAGAATGACCGAGTTTAAACTCATAAAGTAAAATGACTTGAGTTTCGCGCGTATTCATTGTACTGTTGCAAAGAAAATACTGAAGAATTTCCAAAATTATTTCAAACAAAAGGTACACGAAACGAAATAGTATAGATTGACATTCAATTTTATGTAAACCATACTGCATGTAAACGATGTATTTCTTGATACAATCTAGGTAAAGAATCTTAAACGTTCAAACAAACATTTCACATATTATGACCTAGTAGTAAATAATCACCGTAAAGCTTTAGTAATCCCTTATACAGATACAGGATGTTCCATAAAATATGAGACCCACTTCAGAGGTTGACTGAGAATACAGGAAAAATGAAAGAACGTTATTTAAACATATATTCCACATGACCTTTTTCGAAATTTTCGAAATTTTATACTGCAATAATTCTTAATGGCAATCTAAAAGATCGTAAAACGGTAGAACTGATTCTACTAAACGGTTTGTATCGAGTGCTCGATACCTCCACTTCTTTGAAAAAATTTTTGTATAATTCAGATATTCCGTTATATCGTAACCGCAGGTTCACGTTCAAGCCGAAGATGGCCTTTTGTGTGCTTTCTGCAAAGGTAAGCAGTTTTACATTTCTAAGGTACAGAAATAGCTATTACTCGAAATACACGAATTTCATTTCAATTTCCGTCGTTTATATGCAGTTTTTTCATTGCTTTTATATCCCTTGTCAATCGTTGAAGTGGGTCCCATATGTTATGAAACAAACTATATTAACCCTTTGCAGTCGACTGTCGCCTCTGGAGCGACAAAATGTATGGAACATTAGAAATTCCGAGTGCAAAGGGTTAAAATAATTATCTTACAGACCAGCACCCATCGATCTTCCACAGAGGTAAAAACTATGAATAAATACTATTAACCCCGTAGGTAAGGGGATGTCAGCCACAGAATGCTAATTAGTGGCCAGGAATCCAACAGAGGTATAATAAATCTTCCCTCTTAATCGTATTATCATATAGAGACGGAAATGACATACTTAGTAACTTGGTGAAATAATAGAAACATGAATTAAAATATAAACTAACATAAGTTATCTCGAAAACAAAGCGCGTTATGACAAAATTTTATTATACTATGTGCAAGGTATCTCCGTACTGGCAGTACAGCCCGATAGGAGGTGAATCTACATGAATTTACATCTAGCTAACGAGTCTGTTCATTGCATTTCGTTTCTACTTATTGCCAGCACGAATACATATCACGTATCTTTTTTCGTCGTGAAAAGTAGCATATTTGAATGGCTTACTCCGTAGAGAAGATTGTCTTTTGTTACGAAAACTAATCCTTTTAAATGATTGGCCTTGAAAAGTATGTATCGTTTATAGCAATTTAAATTATGTAGGTTAACATCTTCATATTTTCTTCCTTTTAGAAATTAGGTGGATGCATTATTAACCCTCATCCATTCCTCATTTTCCCAACTTAATTTGTCCTTCGGTATCAAATTATCACTGTAGTAAAAAATTAATATAATGCAGAGATAAATAGTTAAATTTGCGAAATTATTAAAATAAAAGTCATGGAGCCTCAGCTAAATTATACCTACAACAGCATCATTTCTTAGGAGAAAAATGTGTCAAATTGACACAAGGGACGAATAAGGGTTAAACAATATTTTCAAAGGATACATTTTTCGATACAGAATGTAGTTCAACAATTTAAACCGACCACGCGATGAAACATGATAGTTTCTGCCGCAAAATCCAAATGTTCTGTTATTGGCGATGAAACAATACAATGTGTTAATGTTTGCTGCAACATTCAAAATATTTATTTTTGTGGCGAAACAGTGTTTCGCAGCAGTAAGTCCAAACGTGAAAATATTCATAAGGAACTATGAAATGTGCCTTTGCATGGAAAACTAAAACGTGCTGTTTTGCGTAAGACAATATGAAACGTGCTACTTTTTGTAATGCACGTCGATATACATATACGTGGAAGGTAAATGTCAAAAATTGGTTATCTCAGAAACGCAGCATTGCATAAAAAAATTTCATTCTAACATTCATGTAAAATGTAAGTATGTATTCGTGCTTGTAATAAGTAGAAACGGATTTTATTGACCAGACGAATTAGCCAGGTCCTATTTAGTTGCACGTGTATCGAGCAGATTTTTCAATTTTACTGTCTCAAAAACAATGCATCGGACGAAAAACTTTTATTCCATATTTTCGATTCATTTCTCCACATAGTGAATGAAATTAAAATAAACGTAAAGCAATACAAATCATTATTAAATGTTCGATATGGTGCCTATTACCTTCCAAACACTTAGGTATTTATTCTTTTTATCATAATTTTTTTATTTATTCTTTACAGTCGCATCAAACTCTAACACCAGGGTTATTAACGATTACGATTGCATTTGAAATTGCGATACTATAATTTTCGATATAGTTCTG